TTAAAAAGATAATGCAACAAGTGTAACATTTTCAAGTCAGTGGGTAATAAGAACTAACACAGGCACAGGTAAGTTAGTTCTCACAGACTTATTCCAGTCACTTTCATTAGTGGCAGGTTTTTCTTGATGAACAAAAGCATTTCTGCTTTGTCACCAGACAGGCGACTTCTTTTCTCATCTACTACATGTCCAGCCAAGCTAAACAGGCGCTCGCTTTCAATGCTTGTGCATGGGGCAGAGAGATAGGTTCGGGCAAGTAGAGCAAGATGAGGGAAACGATTTTCATTGATCTTCCAGTAGACCAATGGGTCCTGGCTCCTTTCGACAGGAACCTCAGATAGGTAGTTCTGTACCTGCATAGCTGAAGGGCTGGCCAGCTGTTGCTCCTGTTCAATGTTCTCCTTCAAGATTTCGTCGTGAGCTGCAAACAGTAGACTACGCCTTTTGGCTGCAGGTTCATCGATATCAGGAGGTCCCATTTCAGAGGATGTTCCTGCAGCAGGTGTGCATCTGGTCTCCCCCTCTGCAAGTTTGGTCAAAAGGAGCCGTTTCACGTCATCTTTCACCTCTGCTGAGAAGTAGCGATTCTTGTACCTTGTTTTGCATAAACAAAGAAAGATGGGTCAATCATTGTTTTGTATGCATCAACAGTTTTTATGACTTGCATGTAAATAAAGAAATGCATTTCAATCAAGAAAGTTTTATTTTTAATTTAAATGTTTGTTGAAATATAGTAGTAGGCTAAAAGTAATTATGGCTAAAATAGAATGTTAATGGTTACTTGCCTTGGATCCAGAACAGTGGCCAAGCTGTACAGGGGCTCATGCTCAATGTTGCTGAATCTTCTCACAACAGCCTCCAGCAGCGTAGCTTTGGCTGTACCCACGCCACGGTCTGTACCCACGCCACGGTCTGTACCCACGCCACGGGCTGTGCTCGCTTGCCTCTCCAAAATCCGCTTGAGTGCAGTGATGGCTGGGATGACATCTGCTGCTGTAGCTGTTGATGAGCTAATCTCCTTTGTGAGTTCCTCAAAAGGTGCAAGAATGGTGAGCACATTGTCCAGTAGCTCCCACTGGTGTGCTGTGAGTGTGGCTGGTAACTCATGCTCAGCAGCATACACGCCAATAGCACGTCTCTGCTCCAACAGCGACTGCAGCATGTAGACTGTGCTGTTCCACCTCGTTGAAACGTCTTGCTGTAATCGTTTCCTGGGTTGACCTAACTGTGTCTGTATGTCATAAAGTCGGGAATAGGCAAGTGATGAATGCTTAAAATGTCCAACAATTCTCCTTCCTGTTGCCACCATGTCTGTGATGCTGCGCTGCGCCAGCTGTCCCTCATTTACAACCAGTTGCAGTGTGTGTGCCAGGCAGGGTAAACTTTTCAGGTTGATATCATCCAGCGCTTTGGCCATATTACGAGCATTATCCCGTAAAACAACGTGAACTCTTCCATTATCGATTTCCCAGTGATTCAGCATCGCCTTAAGCTCTGCTGATAAATTGGCCGCAGTGTGAGACCCCGCCATTTCTTTACAGTTTAAGAGTACTTGATGACGTTCGAACTGTTCGTCAATCCACTGTGCAGTGAAACTTAACATGGACATTAAACTTACATCACAAGTCCAGATGTCTGTTGTAAAGCTGAGTGTATTTGTATTAGCTTTTAGCAGGCTGCGGGTGTCTCTCGAAACTTGGCTGAACAACTCCGGTAATGCAACATCAGAAAAATATTTCCGACTCGGCATATTATATCGTGGGCTCACGTGCTGCATCAAGCTTCTAAAACCTTTGTCCTCAACGACTGAAAATGGCTGGTTGTCTAATGCCATGAACTCCATCACTTTCCTCGTGGTAGCTTTGCTCTTTTCGTTGCTCATAAAAGCTAACAGCGACCCACCGACTGCCTCTTTGTTAGCGCTAGCTTTAGCATTAGCCTTAGCTTCGTTGCTCTCTTCAAACATTGCATACATGGCGGCGTGGTGATTTCTTAAATGGCGAACGAGGTTTGTTGTATGAAAGGTTTTGGTGGTGGCTCTACCACGACTTACTTCGGCTTTACACGAATTGCAAATTGCGATCTTTGGCTCATTTTCTTTTACAGCGTAGAACTTCCAAACCGACGACATGTCTGCTCCGAGTGACCTGTGTGAGCTCTCACAGTGGAGCAAAAGGGGACAGCAGCTGATCTTCAGACCTTTCCGGAGGCAGATACGATCGGTGGATAAAATCGGCTTCTCATTTAAAGATCGGCCGATCGCCGATCTCCTTAAGGAAATCCGGGCCGATCGATCGGCCGGCCGATTTCTTCTTCTTCTTCTTCTGTGAGGTTTTACGGCAGCTTACATCCCTCAAGGTGTATTACCGCCATCTAAAGGTACTTCTTCTTCTTCTTCTTTGGTTTTTAACGGCAGCTTGCATCCATCAATGTTGCACTACTGCCATCTCTTGGTGTCTATAAGTTAATTTCTTTCCTATCTAAAGGTACTACTTAGAACTAGTGGTTATAAGTGCTCCGATAAACCTGTTGTCCTCAGGAAATACATAAAGTATTTGCGTCCATGTTTACTGGATCCCCATTCTAATATGCTCTTCAAACATACAGGACTTGTTACGTCATTTGGTCCAGTAGAAGTTTCCTTTCGGTTGAATATTTTAAACAGTCCAAAATAACATGTAACGTGTTCATTGAGCATGCATCAGGATAACATGTTTCACAGTTTCTGTACTTTGGCAAAAGTCACAATGTCCACTATTATGTTTCCCCTATAATAAACAAAGTACTGTTCAGATTTGTATGACCTATTCTTAATCTTGCTAATATAGATCCCTCCCTCCTATTTCCTCCACAATACCTGGAACTGTAGACTGTATTCTGTATTGCATATAGTTGTCTTCCCCATGTTTCATGTTCCCACTTCTGTTGCCATAACTGATTAATATGTTTCCATAGCCGGCCGATTTATCGGTGCACCCCTAATTAAAACCCTCTTTTTCAAGGGAGACCCGGCCAAGAGGCAGCAACAAATACAACACACAAAAAAATTACAGTTAAAAGAAAATGTCAAACTATAAAAAAACAGGTGCTATAAAGCAAGCTAGCTATTAAAATAGATACAAGCCATTGAATTGGCCTCAATCACTTTTAGTTTGGATGTAAAAGGCCTGAATGAGAGGAATTCAGTCAATCTCAGAGTTTTTTGTAGCAAGTTCCAAGAAGAGGGAGCAGAAGCCTTCTTACCCAATTCAGTCCGAGCAAAAGGGACAGAAAGAAGCAGCAAATCGTGTGAGCGAAAAGTATAAGAGTCAACATTTCTCAGTGCTGTATGATCCATCCATATCTTAACCTGCTTCTTCCTTATCGGGTCACTGGGGCCCATATCTAGCAGTCACAGTGGGAGAGGTGGGGGGCACCCTGTACAGGTCTCCAGTCCATCACAGGGACACAGACAAACAAGCATTCACTCTCTCACTCACACCTAGATACAGCCCAACATGCATGTTTTTGGTCCATGAGAGGAAACCGGAGTATCCGGAGAAAACCCAGACATGCACGGAGAGAACATGCACGCCACCCAGAATGGCCCCCACAGCGATCTTTTTGTTGGGGAGGCGGCAGCTCTACCAACTGATCCACCGTGCTATAATGAAAATAAAACATTAAAATGCATTTTGTAAATTCCAAAAACAGTGTGATCATTACAAAAGACATTTGGTTGTTCGAACATAAATGTTAAACTCCACAATCGTCAAACCAATTTTTACCTCTCGAGTGTTTGAATAAACATTTTATGTAAAGCAAGTATTTGTATTAAACTTGTCGCAAACATTGGGAAGTTGTTGAAGTCTGTCAAAAAGGATCTCTGTTGACCTGAAACTATTTTAATTACAACGTGTAAGCTAATATTTTACAATCCAAACATCATCTGATCATAAACCAAATTCAAGAGAAAAAAAAAAAGCACAGGTAATCTGCGTTTGGTCTTTATTTAACAGCCACAAATACAGAAGGAAATCATTTAGTCACTTTATAAATCCACTGTAGCGTGTTTAGAAAATGCTACATTTAATCAAACCAAGATTTTAATGCCAAGAAAAGGCTAAAATTTCCAAAGGGAAAACTTGAACAAATCAAAACCTCTTTTTACAAGAATTGACAAACCCATCTGGCAAAACCACAACATATATATCACCATCACTTCCTAAATAATCAAACAGTTGTATTGAAAAGAAGAGAGACGACAACAGTTGCAGCCTGGGTAGTGATTTAAATCGACCAACAAACAAAATAATGTAAAAAGCTGTTATTTGGCACGTTCAAGTTTGAACCATAACACAATAAATGACAAAAAGCTGCAAACTTATTGTAAATGACTATATTTCCCTTCCAAGACTCTTGATTAAAACATATTTTGTTGTAATAACATAATAAACATTTGATTCATACCTAATATATATAAAAAAACCATGTCAAATGCAACTGATTTAATGTGTTTTCTAATTAAATAAAGTGTAAACTCCAGTGTACATTTTTTAAGAAACAAAACATAATCAATGGCACCACAGTACATCTTTAGAAGCCCCCCCCCCCCCCCCCCCCCCACACACACACATACACACCTACAGCTCAGTAAGTGTGTTTGTTAAGGCTCGGGTGATAAATAAAACATTTTGTTGACTTCACTGATGGGGACATCCCTCAGTCGGGGTATTCCCCCCTTCCTGTAGTTTTCTGTCTTCTGTCCTTGTGCAAACACATCTGCAACAGAAAAGAAGATAATTAAAATATCTACGAAACATCCCAGCATTGCTTTAGTTTTTATTAGTGTTCTTCATGTTTATTCCCATTTAAAATGTACATAATTATCAGGTTCACTTTCTCAGTTCAGAAAAAGAAACTGTTTTGATTACAGCACGTGCTTTTACAAATGTGTGTAGCAGTTCAGTCCAGTGGCTGCATCAAACTCACCAGTGACGTTGTCCACAGAGTCCAGTGGAGCTGTGTTGTTCATGTTCACTCCGAACAGCACAACAACAAAGACCATTAGTGCCACCAACAGGTAGCATGGAATTGCAAGAGCCCAGTATCTACAAAACAGAAGGCATCTGTTAATGATTGTGAAACAGTCATGAATTTAGGAAAAGTGACAAAAGACAGTAAAATATAGGAAAACTTCTACGTTCTTAAGATGATGATGCTTACTTTTGGGGCCAGTAAGTGAGCCCTATTGAATGAAGCCACTCATCTGGTACAAACGCCCACAAACAGTACAGAACTGTGAAGGGAGAAGAGCATTATTACAGATATGGTTCATGTGATTGATTGAATACGTGTATTTATGTAGCTGGACAAGATGGTGGTGCATACATCTGCATGGTGGCGCAGTTAGTAGAGCCGTCGCCTTTCAGCGACAAGGTAGCAGGATCAAATCCCCGCCTGGGACATTTCTGGGTGGAGTTTGCATGTTCTCTCTGTGCATGTGTGGGTTTTCTCCAGATAGCATGTTAGACTAATTGATCATTTTAATTTTTCTCTAGGTGTGAGTGTTTATCTGTCTCATTAGTCTTTATGTGTCTCTGTGATGGAGTTGCGGCCTGTCCAGGGTGTCCCCTGCCTCTCACACCGTGCCTGCTGGATATGGGCACCAGTGACCCAGAAAGAAAAAAAGAAGATAACGGATGAATGGAATCTATAAGATTTGTTTTAGATGTAAGCATGGTCCACCTTAGAATAACTTAATGCCAAACAGGATATTGATCAAGGAACAGCCCTGTTGACCTGCAACCTAAATATGATTATTTATGCCATCAGGACTCTTTTGTTCTGTTTTATTAGAACTATGACCTGAAAACCATCCATCCATTATCTTTATCTTCTTCCTTTTCAGGTCACGGGGGTTAGTGGTACCCATGTCCAGCAATTACTGTGCAAGAGGCGGGGTACACCCTCCAGTCCATCACAGGGACACATAGAGACAAACGAGACAAACAACCATTCACTCTCTCACTCACACCTAGGGACAATTTAGAGTTACCAATCAGCCTAACATGCATGTTTTTGGTCTGTGGGAGGAAACCGGAGTACCCGGAGAAAACCAAAGCGTGCACTGAGAGAAAATGCAAACTCCACCCAGAAACCACCACAATTTGAACCGGGGTGACCTGTTCGCTGAGAGGCAGCAGCTCTACCAACTGCGCCACCGTGCTGCCCCAGTTTGATGTAAATAATTTAATCAGTTTAAACAAGCAGTACGCCAATGTCCAATATTGCTGAGGGGTCTGAAAAGTTAACGTTTGTAGTTTTTGAGTGTTTACCTGGACTGGAATTTAACAGGGAATGCAAGTAGTGGTGGCACAGAGGTGAGAGAAAGTGGGCCTGTGATCAGAAAGTCGCCGGTTCGACAACATCAAAATGCGGGTGGAAACGGTGAAACACCCACACCTGCCTTCACCCTCATTTGCCCCACTCTGAGCCCTTGAGCAAGGCCCTTAACCTCCACCATCTGCTCCTAAACAGGTCTCTCTTGAAAATAAGTCCTCGAGACTCAGTGAGACTACCTGTATAAATAAAGTAAACCTTAATATTTTGATGCAAGATATTCAAGTGTTTTTTGTTTTATTTCTTTTGTGAGGTGGCGCAGAGTGAAAGATCCTGTTAAGCAGATGGAGCAGCGTTATCCACCACCAGGTGCAATGGCTAATCTAGGGGAATGGCCGACGAAGCTCTTGGCCACCATAGATTAATCTTTGACCCCACTGGCCACCCCGATCATTTGAGGAAACTACACTTTTAAGCAATATATTAACTAGAAAGCATAGTTTCTTAAAATGATTGGGGTAGCTGGTTTACATATACAAAATATAAAGCCTTAACCTGCAAATGTATGAACTGTATAGTTTACTTTGCCAAACTTGTTAACAGAATTACATGTTGTGTTTATGTGTCTGTATAAACCAAGAGAAATTAAATCTTGTTTTTTTTTGTGACTTACAGAAAGCAAACTGTGATCCAAGGTAGAGAACAAACCCATAAATCGCCCTTTCAGGGAGCGGAGATGGAGAGTTTTCAACCATGACCTGAAAACAAAACACAAACCCAAGAACTGAGGAGACACCAACAAACTGAGAACATTCAGATTTATGGAAACGCTTCTGTCATCTTACCAGAGTTCATACGTTTCCAGAATTTCATCAGAGGTTATGACGTTAAGTTTGTAAGCAATGTGTAAATAAAGCTGACCTTTTAACATAACACAAAATATATTTGTCCCATAAAAGAGAAGAAGAACGTCAGCGGTTCCGTTAACACTGGCTCGATGGGAAACGTTTCCGTGTGTAGAAGTTCCGCAATCAAAAATAATTTTGTTAAAAAAAACATTAATTAAATTTATTTGAAAATATATATTTTTTATAGATTTTTATGTAAGAAGTGTAATATTTTTACATTTTAAATGCTGCTTTTTTTAATACGCGGGAACATCTAAATTAGTGCCGCTTGTGTTTGACGGACATAATTAGACGTTGCTCGAGTCGGAAAATACACACAGCAGCATGGCGTCGGTAGATTAAACACATGACAATATTTTATTTGCTGTTTCGTAAAGTATTGAGACAGTTTATCTGCATTCCTATTACGTTGTTGTATATTTACTGACGGAAAACAATATTTTTTATGAGACAACAGTAACTTATAAAAGGCTAGCTTAAAAACAGCTCTGTGGGTCAGCGTGGCTGACTGAAAAAGAACATAATTTAATAATCATGTCTAAGGCGAAGAAGAAGAAAACGCAACCTGACTCCAAAACACACAAGCCCACAGCTAAAGATAAGAGGAAGAAGTTTTGGATTAAACAGAACCTGAAGAAGTGTCAAAAGGCAACAACTCCACTGAAACCCCAAGAAAAAGCTGAAACTCCACAACCTGCACCTCTAAAAGGTGGCCAGCAGTTCTCTTCTAACTGGAAAGCATTGCAAGAGGTTTGTTTGTACCACCACATTGCTACACATCTTTTTCTTTCACATTTTAAAGTGTTTGTTGCATTTTAACGTTTTTGTGAAACTTCCCACAGCTCCTAAAGACCAGTCAGCTAGAGAAAAGGAGCCCTGTGACACCCAAACAGAACGGTGTCTTTTTTAAAAAGACAACTAATACTTTGAAAAGTGTTTCCAAGAACGATGCCGTTTCCACCCGGCCAGACTCCAAGAAAAAACAGAAGCACAAATTTGCTCCTAATAATGTCCCCAAGGAAGCTGGTGTGAACTTGAATGACTCTTCTGCCTTAGACACTCGGCAGCCTGCTGCTTCAAAACAAAAACAGGACAAAGGAAAGTCAAACAGCGGGCCTGCAGCTAAGAGAGCTAAATATGTGGATGAGAAGAGGAAACCTACGGAGTATGTACACTGTAATGACTTCAGCTGATGTTTAGTAACTGGAATATCTGGCTCTATAACTCATCTCACCGTGTGTTGTTGCAGGGAGGATTTTTGGTTTGATGATGTCGACCCTGATGATGTTGAGGAAACGATAGGAGCGGAGGCTGCAGAGATCATGAGGAGGAAACGGGGAATACACAAAAGCCAAGACACAGAGCGCTCCTTGGTGAAAGAGAAAGCCTTTGAAGGGTGAGTAATGGCCCAGTCAGTCAGTTTTGTCACTTTTTCCATGTTGCATTCATCTTTTTTTAATGATAGTCCTTAAATAACAACTGAAAACACAAAGTTAAGAATAAGACCTAAATTCCTGCTGGATCAGAAATATATTTAGTTTGTAGAAATATAAATTCTCCTTATCTTATTACTTCTTGCAACCAGCTTTTGGTTCTTTGATATAATATCAAAACTAAATATGTTTTATGATTTGGTCAAACACCCGTGACAGATCATTTACAAATTAATTACGGCCATTTTTTCAGTCTGTAAAAACACCATCCATCCATCCATTATCTTTACCCGTTTATTCCATTTTGGGTCACGGGGGTCGCTGGTGCCCATGTCCAGCAATCACTGTGCGAGGGGCGGGGTACACCCTGGACAGGTCTCCAGTCCATCACAGGGCCACATAGAGACAAACGAGACAAACAACCATTCACTCTCTCACTCACACCTAGGGACAATTTAGAGTTACTAATCAGCCTAACATGCATGTTTTTGGTCTGTGGGAGGAAACCAGAGCACCCGGAGAAAACCCACGCATGCACGGAGAGAACATGCAAACTCCACCCCTGGACCGGGGTTTGAACCAAGGACCTGCTCGCTGAGAGGCAGCAGCTCTCTGTAAAAACACCTTTTGCTCCAAATTTTTTAAATATTGAAATGTGTTTTAAAATGTATCTAGAAGCATGTCCACTTTGTGATACTTTTAACTGACTAACAGGATGTGATTTTATTTTATGTGAGTCCAGTGTTGACATCAGAATCTTGTATCCCTGTGTGACACTGACACTCACTGGCTGTTGGTCACCTCTGTCAAATAAACAACTCAAAACAACGCCAAACTGCTGTCTAGTGCATGTATTTTTAATTTGTATGCTTATTCAATGAAAATGCTTTTATTGAACATTAGACAACAAAATATGAATTCTAACTAATTGTTTACTACTCGGGATGTTTGACCCGTTTGTTATCCTCTGGTTTTAGCCTCACAAGAGCGGTGGCCATCGATTGTGAGATGGTGGGAATCGGTCCTGATGGTGAGGACAGCATGTTGGCTCGAGTGTCCATCGTGAACCACTTCGGGAAATGCATCTATGACAAATTCGTGAAACCCACTGAGAAAGTGACGGACTACAGGACAGATGTGAGCGGGATCCGACCAGAGAACATCAAGAACGGTGAGTCGAAAAGGACAATGGAACAACTAGACTTGTTTATGGGTCATTATTTTAAAATGACTCTTGTTGTTTTTATTTTGATGGTATTTACTGTCCATGTTTATCTCTGCAGGAGAGGAAGTACAGACTGTGCAGAGGGAGGTTGCAAACATCCTGCAAGGGAGAATACTTGTTGGACATGCTATACACAATGACTTAAAGGTAGCTAGTTATTTTTAACTAACTATATATATATAAACAAATTTCATTAACTTCTGAAACTGTTTCAGATTCTGCTCTTGGATCACCCAAAAAAGAAAATCAGGGACACTCAAAAGTATAAACCATTCAAGAAGATTGCCAAGGTAATAATAAAAAGCAATTACTAACAGTTCAAATGCTTTCAACATTTTGAATGAGACTCCTCAATACACATGGACCCCCACACCCAAGCACATTGAGAAATCCCCAATCAAATCATCACATTTAAATAGTAATAACACGATTTTCTACTTTTAGAGCGGCCGGCCCTCATTGAAAGTCCTCTGTAGAGAAGTCCTCAATGTAAATGTCCAGCAGGGTGAACATTCATCTGTAAGTCACCTTTTCATTAAAATGATGAATATGTGCTGCGTTTCATGTTGACATGGATGACTTTAAAGCTTAAATTTGCCAGACTATTTAAACAAAGAGTTCTTTCTGTGTTTTTCAGGTCCAAGATGCACAGGCCACCATGAGGCTGTACACTATGGTGAAGAAACAGTGGGAGGCAGAGCTTAAAGTTGGCAAGAAAAACAAAAACTCACAGATGACAAACAAGAAGAAACCCAAATAAGAAGAAAGTCTGATGGGATTTAAAATCCAAAACCTGTATGCAAGGGAGCAGAACATCTGATGAGAGCAGATACGACTGAAATGGTTTGTTTTTAGGAGTAAGCGACACCACCTTTTAAGTTTAGTCACATCAGAGCAGGACACCGTGTGCATAGATACAAATAAAAACTGCTGACAGTCGAAGGCGAAGCTATAAAGGAGTGTACAGTACCACAGAACAAGATTACTGGGTTAGTAATGTATGATAATCTTTAGGCCCAGAGTTGTCGGTGTCTTAAAGTTGGCTCTTTTAAGCTGGCTCAATCACCATGGCAACGGATGAAACCTGCTCTGTTCAAAGCTTTGCATTTAAATCAACTATTAAAAGTGTTCACTAGTTTCCTTTTCTACCTTATTCGTAAAACAAATATTTGTTCCTTTTTAATGGTAGAATAAAATATTTTTAATGTAAAAAAAAACTTCTAAAGTGTTTGCCCCTTTTTTGTAATTGTACATTAAGCCTGAAGGGTGTAAATATACTGATCACCAGTGTGATGATATATCCTGGATATTGGAAATAAACTGGACTGTTTGGTGCTTTACGCTCAGGGTTGTTTGGTCTGTAGGTCCGCTAAGATGTGGAAAACAAAATCTTTTATTTCTGAGCACATCAGGCTGATTTATTCAGGGAACAAACCTCTACTGACACTGATCCTTACAGTCCGTTTTCTTCATTTAACACTTTTAGACATTATTTTCCAGTCCAAGCCGTGACTTCAAATAATCCACCGTCCTCTTCATCCTTTAATGTTGAGAGCTCAGAAGAGATGGACACAATCACAAACTATTTTTCTCATCGGATCATTTTACATAATAGAGCTTCCCCTTTTTTTGTCATCTTTTGCATCATATGTTTTAATTTGTGTACTTTTTGTTCTCAGTGTCAGAAATTAACTTGTCCGTCTTGACAAGATACAAATGTGTTTTTTAATTATAGTTTTAGGCTCAGTCTCATCTGCAGCCATGTGCACACAGACGGGCAAAAACATTTCACTGTCTATAAAGTACAATATCTTATTTTTATTTAACTTTTATTTATTTTTTTTTAGAAGAAAGCCCATCTTAAGTTAATTTTAACTTTTAACCTCATCACTTTAAAATCTCAGTAAAACTTCCATGTCTGCTTTAAGTTCTTTGAAAACTTATCATGAAAGCAAGTTGCTAATTTTAAAAACAAAAAGGCTTTTTTTTTTACACATTGAAGTCTGCCTTATCCAGGCCGAACAAATTTAACCAAAAAAGGAGTTTTTGTCCTTAGAGGGGGAACATGTGCCAGCAATAAATGATGTGAGCTAATGCAGCCATTTTACTGGTGGCGCTTAAAGAGACTCATTTATCAAACTGTCATTTGGGTTTTATGGGAAGAGGGTCTGTTTGCAGACTGATTTCATTTAAATTTAAATGTTGAAGCTTGTTCAGATGTTTTTATTGTTGGACTTTTAAGAATCTTACACAAAGAAATTGTAATATTTATAATGATTCCTACAGACTTCAAAAAAATTGAATCCTCGTCTTCAATGAATAAAAGATGAAACAGATTTATTTACTGTATTTATTGTTGGATTAAATTTGTTTTTGAGGTTTTAATGAGTACCCAAGCATTTAGTGTCTGTTCGTTAAAGGAATGCAAGCTGATACCGTTTTGATGATGGATACTTATTCTGCAGAAAATAAACCCAGCATGCGGAATGATCACACATTTACATAGAATAAGTGCAAATAGTGCTTCTGGTGCACCTGCAGAAATAATCTTTCTGTAGGAACTATATAATGCAAAGTGGACACAATGTAAAGTCTGATAAAACAACCAGTGTTCAAAACAACCTCTGTGAAATTTTTGAGTCGACTCGTTTTAGCGTCAGAAATTCTCTCCGGACTTGGCTCTGCTTGGATTTGTCAGTCCACCAGAACTTAGCTCTTTTTTTTTCACCAAACGGATATTCAAAATATTATTGTTAGAAATAAATAAATTGCTCCAAAAAAATTAGTTATGATCAAAAAAAAATCTTAAAATTTTTGAATGAGAAAGAAGTCATTCAGTGTACCAGTAGTCCCTCGTTTATCGCAGGGGATCCGTACCATGAAGTCTCGCAATAAGTGAAAAACCAATAGTAGTACAAGTAGTAAGTAGTTTATTTTAGTATTTTAGATTTTTTTGGTTCATTTTAGTGTATATATAAAGATGTTAGAAACCTTTCCCACACACTTGCAATATTCTAAACAATGTTTCTTAACGCTCTAAAGAAAAGCACAGCATGTCATGATTCAGTTCCCTGCCTCCGGCTTCACTCTTGGCCACGCCCCCTACTCCGCTCTGCACGGGATCAGCTGCAGCAGGAAGCTTCTCCCATAGCTGTGGGCAGCACAGGTGCTAAACCATTTAAAATAATTTGTTTTAAATAAAAAATCCATGCAGATCGTGCTGCTCATCCATCAATCAGCCAATTGTGTGTCGTGTCCAACCTTATTTTGAAAAAGAGCGAGTCTGCAAAAAATGAACCGCGAAGTAGCGAGGAACTACTTGTGCACAGAATCGGACAAGAGTTTTAGCTAAACTTACGTTGTATGTAGGTGGAGATGCTAAACAATTGCCTCCATCCAGCCGTGTTCTTGTCTGTCACATATAAACTGTGTGTATCCAGTTTTCTCACCAGAACTTGACATCTGATGCCGGAACAGGACCGACCATCCCTCTGGCTGGTTCAGTATAAGTTATAAGTTTTGCACTCTCCACCTACACAAATACAACATTATACTTTTTAATAATAAAAAAAAACACCTCAGATGATTTATTTTGGTTTACTTTGCTGCTCCATGTTCAAATATTCATTTCCCCAATAAATTTAGCTGTAATCATTTCATGCTTAAGAGAGCTCACATGATACCATGGCTGTGTGTGAGGAAGTGGGCGGGACCTAAAGTCCCACATCTCTGTTGAGCAGACTCCGGTTCCAAAAATACAACACGTCATCTGCCGCAAACCCAGGCCTGCTGCTTCAGTTCATGAGAACGAGAGACGGCTGAGGACACCTGGTTTATATATAGTCTCTGATCACGTACAGAAACTGAGCACCGTCAGTGAGACAGTACTGAATAACTTCCTCAATGGGCATTGTTCCACTTTGTAGTGAACTAAGCCTAAGGTCAAAACCCTTGACCTTAAGAACCTTGTGGGACAGAAACTGTCATTTCATTGATTTGAATCCAGAAATACAGGTTCACCCATCCTGAGACTTTCTTTCTTGAACATTCAAGTGAAAGAACACTCTCTTTTCTATTATCATTACTGTTTTACAAATGTTGATAATCAAAGTGTTTTAGTTCAAACCATTTTAGATGTTGCAGTGAACTAATCAATTTTTATTAACTGTGAAACAGTATAATGATTTTTTAGTTGCTTATGCAAAGTTAGAATTCATGTTAAGGCCTGTTACAGAGTAATTATGCATTTTCTGATTTTCTGTCTGTGAATGAGCAAGTGTAAGTTTTGTCCAAGGTCAGAGTCGAAGCAGACAAGTGTTGGAACAACGGTCTTGTTTTTAAATCCTCTCAGACGTAAACAGAGAAGTTGGCACCTGTTTCTCCAAACTCGCCCAAACATTTCTCTCTGTCTCTGAGAACATTTTCAATCTGTTCCATAACAATTCTTGCTGTTTTCTGACTTCTAGGAACCTCTTACGTCACAAAACACACCCCTGTCTGGTCGACATTGACCAATAAGAAAACTCCCAAATGAACCGGAAATAGAGCCCTTTAAAATGTCGGTACTTCCTAGTTCTGCCAGTTCTGTGAGTTGCCGTTGGAGTCGGGCTGGAGAGTTTGCAGCTCCAGTCGTTTGGGAGAACAGAAGTCCAGCCATGATAAGGCTCTTCCGAGATTGGGATTATAACATCTTCCACCTCTGAGTGGAACTTGGACGAACCCCACTCATGTGAGGTCCACTGGCTGAGGTGAACTTGTGTCAGACGGAATATCGTCACTACTTCGGACGAGTCACAGCCATCCTATGGAGACGCTGGACAGGTAGCGTTAACTGGAACTCCGTATCCGCTGATTCATCTTCAGAGAGGTAACGAGTCAAGTTTACTACCGAGCGTACCGAGGAAAGCTGGGTTCGAATGGAGAGTGTCGTTTCTGGTCAACACTCTCCCTCACACACCATCTTTTACTCCCTTTAAACTTCATTTTCCATCTTTAAAATTCTTCTATCTGCTAAAGTCATTACAGATATTTTAGAAATGTCTGAAGCAAAGTTCTCAATCACCGCCGTGTGATTTGATGTCTGCTGTTTTGCTGAGAAGTGAAAACAATCGCCGTATTGTTTCTCACTACCTGTAAAGCTGATTAATTATGTTGTTATTTTCATATTTTGCCCAATTAATGTAAATGTTTGATGTTAAACTTTGATTCTGTAAATAAATGACTACATTCATTTTGATGGGTCAAAGATAAATAACGTCTCACGTTACATTTTATTAAATTCAATGCACGTTTATATTCAGTCCAGAAAAATGAAAGAATCCGTTTTAATCAGGTGAATATCTCAGGATATGTTCATCTACAACTTCCACAGATTTTTAGAAAGGGATATGAAAATACTCCTCAGTCTCATGACTGTAGTTGCACAAACTAAGAAAAAGCAGAGCATGTTTGGACCAAAGGACCTTCGGTGATCCTAAAAACAGACAATTGTGACAATGATCAATTTCCCATAAATTATATACAACAGTTAGAACGTTACATGTACATAACCTTTTTTAATAGAATCTCATTTCAAAAGATCTGAACAATACCTTTACCTGAATGTAGATGACTGAACTTTAAACTGTTACTTACCTGACTCAGCCATATTTGATCCAAATTTAAGTGATGGGTTGTTGATTAATTTCCATCACAGATAACAATTCTGAGTTAGTTTTTTCATTTGTCAGCCTGTTGGTTGCCAGAACAAGATAAATACTAACGATCATGTTTGGTGAAGACTCTGCTGTTATAGACATCACAGAAATAGGTTGGTTTTTGCGACTCAATATAACCACTAACTCTGGTGTACAACACCTGCATGTATGTTTTATGTTTTACTGAGGTGCTGCAGGACTAAAAAAGGCACATAAACAAAGAAATGATACTGCACTAAACTGAAACTTATCTGGTATAGGGAACTGGAAACACATTTACACCATGGGGGCCACGTCAGGACCTTTTATTGTGTGCTGAACTGTTTCACATCTATGTATTAAGATGCTGTGATACATGATACAAATGTATCCTGTTGTTCAGAGT